AACAAAGCTTTTTTAAATCATTATACTTAGGTGTNGGAATACACCAATTAACAAAGCTTTTTTAAATCATTATAACAACTTTTTTTTGTATACTGGATGGATGTAATACAGAAATTTAAAAGACCTAATATATTGTTCTGTTTTGCTCGTTTAATAATATTTTTTTATTTTTACGTGAATCAATTTTTGGTTATTTTAAGTTTGACGCGGTCGCATTGCACTTCCGGCTTTACCGCTGGATGGCGACTGCGACACAGCTAACTCTCCTCGTCCGATAGATCACGCGACGCCGAGTGACCGGTCAGGTGATGCACCAATATAAGATTATCTTTCAACGTCCTCATGGAACAAGTTGCCACGACATTGTTATTATTGGCATTATATATATATATATATATATATAGTCTATTAAATATACATTGATAATATTTATTTGACGGAGTAATTATTTATTAATATAAAATTACCACCTGACCCACAACATTGGCGCAGTCAAATAAGGAATTTTTGCAGACTAATAAGTAATTAAGGTAAGTGCTAAATAATTACAGCAATTATTATTGGTAGCACCCTTAATAAAATATTTGCAAAATAGAGAACCTACAGCTTTAACTGACTAAAAGTGTAGTAAGTCCCAGAAAAAGAAATTTTTAAGACTTAATTAGTCATAAGCTTATTAATTTTTGGGGTTAAGGTCTATATAAGCTATATAGCTAGAGATAGACTTATTATACAGAAGAATTTCCTAACATGGTTTGTGCTAAAAATATCTTGCAGACAAGTCCTCCACTTCCCGATCACAAGATCAGCGCATTAGCTTATCCCCATTGACCTACTTATCTGCTATTATTAGAATATCAGCACTCAATATGTCAGGTAAGAGCATACTTGAGCTGACAATAAGAGAGTTGCAAGGGGAGCTGTCACGACGGGGGCTCGAAAGCCGACCTTATGGTTCGGCTTGAAGACTATCTAAGCCAGGAGGAGAGGGTCAACGCGGTGAGCGTCAAGTTCCACCCCGAGAAACCGAATAATCCTCCGCCCCAAGATGACGATATCCCTAAATAGCGATATCCGGGCAACTGGAAAATGACGATCGCCGTTCCGAAGACGACCGAGACAGCTGGTCACTGTCATATGACACGTATATGATGTTATGCGGGTACATCGAGGATAATGCGAAGCGAAACGAGGAGCTGGAAGCAATAGTCGCCCAACAGCGCGAACAAATTGCTCAGCTTGAGACAAAGTTGAACGACTTGATCAAGCAAGTTAAATTGTCTACTAGCGAAGTACAGGGGGTACCTTGCAGTACCAATAGGGGAACTCTGCCGCCACACCTTACGCTTAGGCAAGTTACAGCGAACAGACCCTAAAATTCACAACTCCAATCGGAAAGGGGTGAGCAGTTGGCCGTCCCGGAAAATTCCGACAGAGCAGTTCGAGAGGACCCCCATCTCCCCACCAGAGCTTCGGACTGCAAATCAGTTCTTCGGTGACTTACGGGATACTTCGGCGGATCAATACCGTAGAAATTACTTCTCCGGCGAAAAAATAAATTTGCCCCGTGAAAACGGCCGGTACCCCGGGTTCTTCGTACAGCTTTGGTTGACAAACCACATAGTCCTAGGACAGCTGTATTCCGAATATACTTCTTTCAATAAGAAATCGTCGGAACAGGCTAACAGGGAGCACTCCCACTGAGTGGGCCTTTGGGCGAGAAGCCAAAGCCCCCGGTGATTGGCTGCTGGACATTATTTCTACGGGTAAAAACCCGAAACAAGTATAAATAACCGGACAGAAAAAGGATTATGCCGAATCGTTACCGAAAAAACAACAAATCTCCCCGAAAAGACCGAAGAATGACAATAACTCCGGTGTGATAACCGAAAACTCCGGTATCTTCGGTAGGAAAATTAAAATCTCTGGGGGGGAGGACAACCCTCTCAAAATTTCGGGTCATCTTTCGGTAAAAACAACGCTGGTCACAATATATACCGCGAAAATCACCGCAAACGCTTTGAGGAAGGGGATTGGGTATATTATCGCGCGTATCCCTTATCCAGCGTTGATAAAAAGTTTCATGCCGGCTTAGCCCCTAAGTGGCTGGGCCCCGTGCAACTAGCCAAAAGGTTAGGTGAGGGAAAGTTTACGACCAAAGGAAAGCGTCAATTGAAGCTGCATGTTACTGCCATGAAACATGACGCTTCAGGAGGTAATCCTAATAATATTAATTATCTATTACAGAATGCCCAGAAATCAGCAGCAAGCCGAAACACGCACTTTCTGACCATTTCGTCAGCTAGCCGCGGGGACCGCAACGATGATACGTCGACAGGCGCGCAGGTTGATGAGGCAGGCAGTGGCTCTCATGGGAGAGTCCTAGGAAGAACTACCACAAAACTGGACCAGGAATCGGGTAAGAACAGCCGAAGTGTGAGAGTTGAGGTCCCAACCGTTTTTTTGGGCCGCCTTTGACCGTAAGCTAACCGACCGGGCTCGTCGACCGGAAACCAGAGAAACCCGGAGACGAAGCGATGGTCCAGCACGACCACGGCCACGTGCTCGCCGTGCCAGTCAACCGGCTCAAGACCAGTTACAGCAGCCACAACTGAACCACCGCCACAATGTGCGAGGGGAAAATGGGCGATTCCGTCCGCGGCCACAGGTGCCACTGGTTGTAGTGGAACAAAGCGGAGTGGGAAAAGGGTCTCAGCGGAAATGTGAGCCGGGACCGACAACCCGATCTACAGGTCGTGTTCCTAGGAAACGACCGGATAGATCCGCCATTGGACCTAACCTTCCAACAGCCGGACGTCATGGAGAGGATGGAGGTGGAACCTGATGTCGAAGCAATCCTCCACGCTTCTCCCATCCTGTTGCTAGACTTTGCTGATCTGGAAGGCGTCCCGGTAGACCACTCTCCCTAGGCTCAAAAGGTTAGCCGACCAGACGGACTGGGGGGGAGTATGACTAGGTCGCATTGCACTTCCGGCTTTACCGCTGGATGGCGACTGCGACACAGCTACCCCTCCTCGTCCGATAGGTCACACGACGCCGAGTGACCGGTCAGGTGATGCACCAATATAAGATTATCTTTCAACGTCCTCATGGAACAAGTTGCCGCGACATTGTTATTATTGGCATTATATTTTTATATATATATATATAGTCTATAAAATATACATTGATAATATTTATTTGACGGAGTAATTATTTATTATTATAAAATTACCACCTGACCCACAACAAGTTTTTGTTTTTGTTCCAATAATATAGTTTTACCATTATTTAATTGCCTAAAATTGCCTAATATATATAGTATATTTAATGAATTTGTAAAAAAAAAAAAAAAATTCATTTTATTTTTAATGTGTTCCAGTAATTAATTAGTTAGTATTTTCAATATTCTATGTATTCGGTTTATTAATATTATTCATAGGTAATGTAAGCAATATGTATTCATTACATTTTTATGTTTTTTTGATGTAAAATCTAATTTATTTAATTCATTATTATTCTTTATGGTTTTTTTAATACTATGTTCATAAAGTACTTAAGTTCCTAAATATGTAATTGAAATTTAGAAATTTATATGAGCTATCCAACTTTTTCAATATTTGTTATTAGAAACTGAAAGGTGTTATGAGTTCATTGTTATATAAATTTTAATTGTTTAATACTAATTTAAATGTTCAAATGTTGACGTTTTATGGAGCTTTAGATAAGTTTATTAGTCATACTTTGTTATTTTATGTGTTTTAGTTTGAAAGGTCGTAGAGCCTTTCAAAGGAGGGTGCATGTTCGCACCAAGCATGAGCACTACAATAAAGTGTTTTGCGGTATGAATGTGATGGTGCTTGTGTGCCATCAGCTGTTAGGACGCCTTATCAGTGGCCTGTGTTGTTCGGTCGCTATTTTAAATAATAACTAATAATAAAAACGTTATTCAAAATGTAATGAAAAATGATACAGTTTAGGTTAAGTTGTTGATTTGTTATTTAAGTGTTGTTTTTCTGTATTATTTAGTAAAAAACATTGTTCAAGTTTTATGTTAAAATACATTATTTATATCATAATTATAAATGCATTGAGTTGTTGTGGTTTTTTTTTTATTGTTTTTTATTAGTTGTATCATTATTATAATAAGAACTACACGTTACACTATTATATATTGTAGTTTATTTCATTCATATGAAGCCTGCATCTTTGTAAAATTTAATGTAAGTACTATGTAAGTGCTAGTTCCTTATTAATATCCTTATTAAGATAAAGTATGTCGAATGAAAAAGAGATTATTAAAAAATATTATTTCTCATAAAAAAATTATGTTGATTCATACACTTTTCAATAAATTATAGAATTATAAAGTTAAAAATGTATAAAATAAAATCGAAAATTATTTTTTTCCATAATAAAGTACATTACATTAGCTTTAATTTAAAATATATATAAAAGTATCAGTATTTCCGGAACACATTCAAAAGTTAATTTTTTGTGAAAAACTTGTCATTTAAAATCCCTCCCTGTGGAAAAGGTTAAATTTATGAAAAAAATATACCAAATGATAGATAAAGACATGAAGCATCTATAAAAAAAATTATATTCATTTGTTCATTTTTGAAAAAGTTATGGCAGTTTTAAGTAAAAAAAATAAAAAAATTTCGAAAATTACCGACTTTTATATTTGTAATTTTTTTGAAGGTTCTCCTATTTACGGAGAACGAGGGAAATTTTTACAATTTTTGAGGGTAATGTCTTCGACTAGATATGATTTGTGATCTTTTGACTTATCTTTGAATGAATTCGGTTCGGTGAGATCTGACAAAAAGTGGTAACAGACACAAAAAAAAAAACACAATATATACCTTCTCAGCTTCGCATCGAAGCTAAAAAAATTGAAAATTATAAAATTTATGACAATAGAGTTTCTAAATTTGCAAAAAAAAATGTATTAATCATTTATAGTAACTAGGAAAATAAATTACTTGTTTATCGACTTTAATGATCAAATTTATAATAAAACTAAAAACAAACGGTTAAACTCATATAAGAAAATGTTAACCATTCAGACGATGAATATAATTCTGATCAACCAAAAACAATTGTTTATAATATTTTAAAACAACAATTTATTTATTTTTTCTTATTTTATTCGATCAGTGCTTGTATAACCTGATCAATCTGAACAATTGTTGTCTCTTTTAGAGTTTTAATAATAATTTTTTTAATATTATCTTCATTTAATGGTTTTTGATCGGATGGAGAACTTTTTTTAGTGATGGTTTCTTTATACTTCTCATATTCTGTATAACAATAATAAAGCCATTTTCTACCCAAATCTGAAGTATCTGCACAAATTAAACCAAAATTGGTTATATAATGAAAAGCATGTAAGCATACATGAAGACCACAATCATATGAATTTTTTTGCTGTATAGCATTTTTAGCAAGAATAAACTGGCAATTACTATCAATTGGTTTGAGCTTTGATTTAGCATGAAATGTTTTTACATTAAAGTATGCACACATTATAAAATGTAAATATGTAAATTCTCTTAAACGATGGTTTTTTTGTGAATCTAAAATAGTTATTTGTTTTTTATTTAAATCAATTACTCCCAAAACCCAATGATCTGTAGCAATGTGAACATTAACTAAAATGAGCATTTCTTTTGACGTAATTAAATTATGTAGGTATTCAATTAAAGGTGAAAACAATTCCTCACGTACACAATTATAGATGTATGTCGAAACATATAAAATAGTGTCTTGTTTTTGACTTTTCATAATAATAAATTTTATCACATCATCAATTACGTCTCCAACTATATATTGCTGGGGTAGTAAGGACTTTACATTAACGGTTAGGTTCGTAGGTGGAAAAGGAATTTTTAGTAATTGTATAATGGATTCAATAATTTCTTCATTAACTAAACATATAAAACAAATATTTTAATTATTATATGTTTAAAATAATTTCATAATATATTGTATTAAATTTTTGAAACATAAGCTTAATAAATTCTTGTGATTATTACTTATACATAAAATAACAATTAATACAATAAAACAATAACTATTTTTTCACAAAAAAAAAAATAAATCTATAGAATAACATAAATATTAAATGTCAAATTCACAAAATTACCTGGAACATTATCTGGAACATTATCTGGAATATTACTTCCACATTTGAAGCAACCTATAATGAAAAAAATCGTAGTAAATATGATTTTTATTAATTACCATAGAGAGGTCCAGGAAGCGACGAAGAAACTCGATGAAAGAGCCATGCTGGGTCTGGTTGAGAAGGTACCCACCAAAAAAGCGGGAACACAAACGGAGCACCCCGAGGCTGCAGTGAGCGTCGGCGAACTGAGCACCGGAGTCGCTGCGTCGAATGCCCTTGGGGAGAGCGCCACCCACCGCCAAGGTGGTCAAACGGGTACGGAAACGCCGGCGTAAGAAGGCTAATGGCAGGAACGATGGTGAAGCGAGTGTCGCCCCACAATCGCAGACTGCAGTTGCAGCGGGCGTCCCAGGCCTGCCGTCCCAGAACGTGGTAGCGCCTGCAAGATACGTGGTCGGACGTGGTCCGCCGTAAGGCTCCTAACCGGTCGGCGAAACCTCGTCCAAACCCCGAACCTCCCGTCTCAGCGCGGAGACCCGTCATAAAGGCGAAGGCCCCGCGGACCGAGGCCGTTGTTATCAGTCCTCTTAAAGAGTTGGTGTGTCAGTCGGTGCGGTGTCAGTCCGACTTCACGGTAGCGGTAAGAGCCGCTACGCGTGGTGCGAGGTCCCCATCAGGGCCTCACAACCGCTGGTCAGACTGACACAGCTCTGGGTGGGATGGGGCACGTGCCGGATCCGGATCCCACAGGATAAGGGACCGCGCTGCTACAGGTGCCTCGAAAGGGGCCACGTGCATACGGCCTGTAGCGGCGTCGACCGGATCGGCGCGTGCTTCACGTGCAGGGCAGTGGGCCACAGGGCGAGGGATTGCCCCAAGAAGGTGGGAGGCCCGGAGAGGCCTACTTAGGTACCTCCCGTCCTCCTCACCGTTTGTGTATGTTTTTCTATGTGTTTGTGAATTCTTTTATGCCCACCCTTAGCTAAGTCCTACCCCCACCTCCACGTGGTGAGACCTGGGCAACGGATCCCACTCTAGGATCCGGCTAACGGGGGAGGCAACGTCGTGTTGTGACTCAGCTCTTGATTAATTTCGGGCTGAGTCAAAAGACGGCGGTATGAGTTTTATGCGACGTTGGGCGCCCTGAAGCAATACTTCACGGTAGTTCCAGGGCGTCCAGCATTATGTCGACCGTGAAAAAAAAAAAAAAAAAAAAGTAATTAGGTGAGTTACGATAAAAAAATCACTGTGTGTACATTAATTATACAATAATTATACATTATTATTCATGAATCTTATAAGATGATTTATAGAAGGTATTTTTATTAGTAAACTTATATACGTATAATATTGAATAGATTAAACCATGGAATTCGTTCAAGTATTACATTTGATGTTTCGCTATTTATTATAGATAACATATTAAATTATTTAATAAATAAAAATTATAATATTATATATTGTTAACATACATATATTTTTTAAAGATCATCATTTTTAAATTAAATATAATATTATCTCACCTTCTACTATATTTTTAATACCGTAAACTTTGATTGTAATTATTGAAGCTAATAAATATGTACACAACAAAACGTTTTTAAACATTATTACTTAAAGTTCGTTCTACTGAATAGATTTTATTTAAAATTAACTTAAGAAACGACAAAATACGTTTATTAAATTCTTATAAATATAAATAAAATAGAATTGATATAAAGTACTATTTTATCTTTCTATGTTTTTATAATAATTTTGTTTTTCTATAATAACGCATTAAATTATTCATGATTTATTTTTTCTAAAATAAACACGCTTAACATGTCATTGAACAAATTAATGTACCTTAAAAATGCTTATATATATATATTGATCAATTGTAATTTTGATAAATTAAAATTAAGACTATTTAAATATTTACCACCAATGTTTATAGTTTTTATAAGATTGTATAACTGTAGATTGACTAATGAGAATGCGTTAGGTCGACAGCCGGCGTAAAAATTATTTTCATTAAAGTATGAAGAATCCTGAACAAAACTTAGGTGGATTATCTCATTATGGATATACGCAAAGACAACAGAAAGTAGTTAAAAACGGAGAAGGCCTAAGGAATAAAGAGTTTGATACCAGCCGGAGAACTTGTACGGTATCTGTTTCACCATTCTTGTGTACAGGTCTACTCAACGATTGTTGTGTCAAAGGTGTAGGGACATCACTATATAACTCTATGCTGGACCCGTGATAAGAGAGAAAGATAGATACAAAGTAAGAAAAGGTACTTGGAATATTGGGACATTAACTGATAGAAGTTAAAGTATTAAAGAAGAGAAAAGTTAACATTTGTTGTGTACAGGAAACTAAGTGGAAAGGAGAGAAATGGAGGAAAATAGGTGAGGGTTACAAAATAACATACTTAGGTAAGTCTAGTACGAAGAATGGTGAAAACGATTAAAGGATTATAAAGCTAATAAATATGTACACAACAAAATGTTTTTAAACATTATTACTCAAACTTCGTTCTACTAAATAAATTTTATTTAAAATTAACTAAAAGAACAACAAAATACCTTTATCAAATTCTTTATAAGTATAAAAAAAGTAAAATTTATATTAAGTACTATTTCATCTTTCTAAGTTTTAATAATAATTTTTTTTTCTATAATAACGCATTGAATTATTCATAGATTATTTTTTCTAAAATAAACATACTTTAAATGTCATTGAATAATTTAATACAGTGTACTATAAAATACTTATACAATTTTAGATACATCAATTGTAAATTTGCTAAATTAAAATTATCTAACCTTATTATAATATTTACTCGTAAAACTTTATTATTTTTTAATAATAGTATTGATAAGGATGTTAGACACAGAACTAAGTGCTGGTGGTTAAAGTGAAAAGAAGCGTCTAGCGTCTTATGCGATAAAAGAATTTCAATGTGGCTGAAAGATAAATTCTACAAGATTGTAGTGAGACCAGCTATAATGTATGGTACAGAGTTTTGGGCGGTTGATAAGAAAGTAAAGCAAAGATGAGAATACTTAGATAGATGAGTGAAGTCTTAGATGGTCTGGTCATGTTATGAGGAGAGAAGAAGCAAAAGCCGTAAGAACAGTTGGAGCAATGAATGTTGAAGGAAGAGGAGGTAAAGGAAGATCGAAAAAAAAATTGAGCGATTTTATTGAATGCGATATTAAGACGATTGATGTATGCCTAGATGATGTGGGAGATCATGTCCTGTGGAAGTTTAGGATAAGGGTGGCCGACCCTAAGTAGTTGGGATTAAGACGAGGAAGAAGAAGAAAAATTGTTTTATTAATTTTTAATTTTTAAGAAATCGATAGCAATTTTGTATAATTGTACATAATTTAAATATAATCACATGAATGTGTATTCTGATTTATTTGTTCAATATAAAGTATATAATATATGCGTTTTTTTTTAAATATGTTTAATGGTGTCTTATTTTTCGAAACGTTTAAAAATTATAATGTGACAAAAAAATTCTTCTTCGTTTTTTGTACACAGGGTGCTGATTAATTATGCATCACAAATTATCTCTGAAAAAATAAGAATTATATTTTTTTTTATGAAATGAAATGTTTTTATGTTGGGCTGTACAGTGAATAAAATTAAATTTTAACATTAGCTTTCCATTTTCAAGTGGTAACCCTATATTTAATATATAATTTAGATAGGTTCAGTTTAAAATAAATAGAATAAATATTTAATCTTCGTTTTTCAAACATAATCTCTGAACAGTGGCATAGTTTTAATTAGATACACTATGTCTAATACATTATATCCATATTTTGGTCGAGTTTTGTATTGAAGCTTTGAGTTTTATTTTAATGATTTAACATTTTAGAATCCCAATGAACATTTTCATGATAAATAACTATTGATAATGATACGTTTTATGGAAAATTTGATTAATAAAAAGGTTGATTCCTAAAGCTTACTTTTAGGGAAATATTTTTTTTAATGAAATTATTGAAATAAAGAAATTTCTGTCATCCATGTGTTATTATAATTTCTCTTAAAATATGCATTGAAATAATTCTTTATAATGATCCCTTTCTTATTTAAGAGGTATTTCTTTGAGAAATCATTACCAAAATAAAATAACATTAACTATATTTTAAAAAATATTTTAATGGTACATTTTTAAAATATCAATGATTTTTAATTAATGAAAGAAATAGTTTAAACCACCCCCCCCTCATAAAAAAATTAGAATTACTACATTGATCTGTGTACTTATTGTTCTACTTTTGAAATCATTTTAATAAATAATGCGATTTATTTTCAGGGTATACATCTAGTATTATAAAATGTTATTAGTAATAGTACACAGATACTAGAATCTCAAAATTATATATCTAATATTCTCTTTTAAACATAGAAGGATTTACTAATTATTATTTCTTTATTGAAACAACATTTTTGTTTAGTTTCATTATTCCTTATTGACCAAGCATGTATTAAAGTTCATTTTATCCATCTTACTGGTTGAGAGTTTGTATGATATGTTTGTAACAGAAACTTTCCAATGATCATTATATAGCTAACATAGCTTAACCGAAGTTTTTAATTATAAATCAAGTGTCGACGTGGCTCATAGATTTTCAAATCAATTGTTGCATACCGGATATAAAATTTATGATTATAGATAATTCATGAAGATATCTATGTTGATAACTATCTTTAGAAAAATATGCAATTAATTATAGAATTTTAGCTTAAAAGCGAAGGTGAGAAGGTATTTTTTTCACTATGATCTGTTTTTTTATGTATCTGTTACCACTTTTTCTCAGCTCTCATGGAGAAATGACCATATAAATATAACTTTTTTTATAGATGCATGATGTGTTTATCTATCATTTGCTATAGTTTTTTATAAATCTGACCCTTTAACTGCCCACAGGGGGGATTCAAAATAAAACATTTTCACAAAAAATTAACTTTTAAAAGTGTTCCGAATTACTGACTTTTTTAAATTAATCTTAAATTAATGCTTATGTAATATACTTTATTATAGAAAAAAAAAATTCGGACTTTATAATGTCTTCACGGAAAAAAGCGCTACCATATGCTATTTTTATGTTAAATTCTCAATTTTATATATTTAATTTTTAAGTGCTATAACTTTTTGAAAAATATATGGATCAATACATATTTTTGATGAGAAATAATTTTGATACACTTCTTTGATTCGACATATTTTTTTTTAAATAAAAACATTTCCTTTTATATATTTATATATTATAAATATGCATATATATTTATTCATATATTACACTCATAACTCATAAAACTTGTAATCAAGATATAAATAAGGAAATAGGAGATCATGTAGCTTTTGGAATAATCCACCATTCTTTTAATATTAAACACTATCTACAGATATACATCCAAGCATTTTTTACTTACAAATTTTAATCGAAGCTTTTCTTATGATAGTGATTTTAATCATTGTCAGATATCATTATACTTGACCCAGCTATGTCATGTCCGCACTGTGCCGCGCCTCATTGTGCAGGTTATTTTTATAATAAAACTTAGTATTTGAGCAGTAATCAAAAAATTGTTTTTTTTTTTAAATTCGGATTTCAAGAGAAATTAACTGATAAATATATATTATTATAAGATATGAACAATAAAATTTTATTTTTTGGTGTCAAATAGATAATAAATTAATATTTTTTTAGAACAGGGCTTCGAAGAAGGGAATGACTATTTACTGCTCGAAGATCAAATTTGTACTTAAAAGGCCACAATGGTGGACTTATTAAACAAATCTGCGGTCACTAAAGTCTTAAGTACTTCTAATTCATCGCAAGCATCTCACATTGAATCTATGAGACTACCTGCTATTGATTTACCAAAGTTTAGAAAAGATCTTCGTGATCGGCCGGATTTTATCAATACATTTAATGCTTTATTACACGGGAATTTAATAATAACTGATGTACAACGATTACATTATTTAAAATTAAGCTTAACTGGATCTGTTTCAGACGTCATTAAAAACTACTCAATCACTTCTGCCAACTATCAAGAGGCTTACTCTGAATTAATCAGACAGTATGAAAAAAAAGAGCTTACCACATAAACTCACATAAGAGCATTACTTCATTCAACAAAAGTGCATCATGCTTTAGCTGTAGAATTACAGAAATTTCATAATCATATTACTTCACAAGTTCGTGCATTAAATGAACTCGAGCAGCCAGTTCAGCATTGGGATGCCTGGCTAGTGACTCTTATTTGCAGTCAGTTAGATGCCACTACTGCCGGCGAATGGCAATTGCAACAAATAAATAATCAATTGACCACTTATGCAGCTATAGAATCATTCTTGGCAAAAAGTGTTTCTGCCTATGAGGTGGTGCTATTTCTAATTATGTAAAAATGAGTAATAGGTCTAAAAATGTAAGTGTCAATAACAAGACTTTCTTTAGCCGCCCCAGTGAGTAAAATTCAATGAAAAGTCCACTTTGTATAGTTGCCCACCGCATATATGCATGTGAAAAATTTGCTCTTATCCCAATTTCTGAATGACAAGCAAATTTATCTTTATCTGACCATTCATTTAATATCGTTGGAGTTTTATCTATATCATCGATGACCAGACGTCTTAATACAACAACATTTTTTTCTAAACTAGGCAACTACTAATATAATGTTAATTTTTACTCAGTGCAAATAATTGTCAACGCCTTACCGTTACTGTATGTTGATAGAAATTCAGTGATTATACCTGATCATATTAAATACCATTTAACGGACCCACAATTTTACCAACCAAGGTCCATTGATATACTAATGGGAGCGGATGTATTTTTTGACATCTGGCTTGGTGAAAAATATTCGCTTCTGTGCAGTACTTTACTTCATCAAACCAAATTGGGTGGGTAGTTGCTGGAAAATGGCCTTGTATGACCACAACTCCATTACAATCCAATTCATGTATTCTCAATACACATACCTGTTTATTTACAACCACTAAGTTTGCTCAGCGCGTTCAAGAAGAAAAGGCAGTTGAGGAGCATTTCAACGCAACACATAGTCGTAATTCTGATGGTCGGTTTGTGGTAAGGCTACCGTTCATACAAAGTTCATCGCTTTTGGGTGATTCTTTTAACATAGAAAAGAGACAGTTTTTTAATTTAGAACGCCGATTAATTAAAAATCCTACCTTAACTAAACAATATGACGACTTCATGAAGAAATATTTAGCTATGAGATACATGGAAACCGCTGAACCTATTAATGATCAACCTATTAATTACTTGCTCCACCATGCAGTCTTTAAACATGAAAGTATCACCATCAAAATTTGGGTATTCTTTGATGGTTCAGCTACTACTACATCAGGGTTATCTTTAAATGATATACTTCTAAATGGACCAAAAGTTCAATCCGATATCTTTCATATATTATAACGTTTTCGTTAGCATTCCATTGATATTACAGCGGATGTGGCTAAAATGTACAGGCAAATTTTGTTGCATAATAGTGACTGCAACTTACAGAGGATACTTAATCGTTCCCAACCTATTGAATCATTACATGAATT